GTCCACTGCGCATGCGCAAGGCGGGAAAATCCATACGGTAGCTACACCGGCCCCTAAATGGGCATATACTAATAGTCCATTTACTAACTCCATGAAGGCTACCGTTCTTAACCTATAACACAAATATAATATAAATTGTCAAATTTCACTGTTTAGTTCAACATGCTCATTCATAGTCCTAGCCAGATTACTCTCCGTCCATTTCAAGCAAACACAACTTCGCCACAGGACGTGTTAGTATCGTTGTATTGATCTTGTTCTCTCCCCTTCTTCGGTGTTTCGCTCGGGTTGATACTGTCGAACTGGTCTTTACTTTCACTGTGCGTACATAACCGTCTTTACTCGGCATAACTTCCGTCACCATTGCCAATGGCCATTGTCCTCTTGGGTAGTTTTCATCCGCTATGAGCACCAAATCTCCTATCTTTAAGTTTCTTCTTGGAACATTCCACTTCTTTCTTTCCAGTAAGCTTGGTAAATATTCTCTTATCCATCTACGCCAGAAGACATTAGCAAGATACTGTGCCTGTCTCCAGCTTTTTCTGCAGCTCAAGTCATCTTTGTCGAATACGCCTGGAGGTAAACTCGACGTCGGGCGTAAATGTAGTAGATGATTTGGAGTTAATGGATCTTCATCCATAGGACTGTCGCTGTTTCTTGTGAGAGGTCTTGAGTTCAAGATTTGGGTTGCTTCAGCCATCACGGTCTGCAAGACTTCATCAGAAACCAACTGTTCCTTTAGAATAGCTCTCAAAACTTGTCTCGTTGACCTTATCAAACGCTCCCATACGCCGCCCATATGACTCGCAGACGGTGGGTTAAAGTCCCATTTAATTCTTCTTTGTGCGCAGAAATTGTGGATCTTGGTCTGATTCCATTCTTCAATGCTTCGGTTCAGTTCCTTGTCAGCACTCACAAAATTCGTTCCATTGTCGCTCTTTATCTCTTCTGGGCAACCTCGTATGCTGATAAATCTTCTGAGGGCGTTTATCATAGAATCGGTGTCTAATGAATGCGCGATCTCTATATGCACTGCTCGCGTTGTCATACACGTGAAAAGGCAGCCATATCGTTTGACAACCGATCGTCCTTGTTTTACTTGTAATGGCCCGAAATAATCAACTCCGACACGCGTAAAGGGTGGTTGATGGGGCGTTAGACGGATTTTCGGTAAATTCGCCATAAACTGTTCTCCCAAACGAGCCTTTCTCCGTTGACAACTAATGCAGCTTCGCACCACACGTCGTACCGCCGTTCTTCCTTTCACGATCCAAAATTCTTTCCTTAATGAAGAAAGGACGGACTCTTGACCCATGTGTCCCACTTCCGCATGGTACTGACGAATTACCATTTCTGTAACTGGATGTTTGAAGGGCAAAATAATCGGATGCTTTAAATCACCATCGATTGGCGCGTTAACGAGTCTACCGCCAACTCTTAACAATCCGTCTTCTAATTGTGGATTCAACTGTCGAAGTGACATTCCTGTCTTCCGGAGGAATACTTTATCCGGTTTCTTAGCACGTTCAGCAACCGTGAGTATCTTCAATTCTTCTGGGAACGCAGTTAGTTGCACATGTCGAAGGATTTCATCTTGAGCCTTCTTCAATTCTTCTATCGTAAGACGTCCAACATTCGCTGTTGTCTCGACTTCAGTATCGACCACGACTGAGCTCTTCTTTAGCTTCACCTTGGCTCGAAGACATTCTTTATAGCGTAATAACCATGCAACCGAGCATTTCAACTTCCACCAGCTGGAGTGATGTGAGATCAACTTCTCCAAGACGTTACATCGTACTGTGGTTGCGTAAATCTGAGCTTCCTTTCTCACTTCGGGGTCATCAGACTTCAAAACCGGGACTTGAACCATCGTAGGCCAGTGTGTTTCGTCCTTCAAAAGAAACTCAGGACCATTTAGCCACCGATCATTAGATATCATGGCGTCCAATTTAACTCCCTTGGAACCGTCGTCGGCAGGGTTGTCATCTCGGTTCACATACATCCACTGGGAGGGATCAGAGCCACTACGGATTACTGTTAGGCGGTTGGATTCAAAGGTGTGGAATCTCTTGCTTTCGTTGTTAATGCACTTCAGGACAGACATCGAATCTGTCCAGTAGTAAATTCTTTCTATCTCCAGGTCCAACTCTTCTTGTATGATCTTGGAAAGTCTCACGGAGATAACTGCAGCGGTTAGTTCCAATCTTGGAATTGAAATCTCTCGTAAGGGAGCAAGCCTAGCCTTTCCCATAACAAACGCGCAATGAATCTGTTCATTGGTATCTTCTAAACGGAGGTATGCAACTGCCGAGTAGCCAAGTCGCGAGGCGTCTGAGAAGAGGTGTAGCTGTATTTCCTTGACGACGCCAAATCCAACGGGTTTGAAACAGCGATCTACACGTATTGCTTGTAACTTTGGAAGGTCAGCCAACCATCGTTTCCATTGCGCCTTCTCGTTCTCTTGAAGTGGATCGTCCCATCCAACTCCTTTTCTACATAACATCTGTAGCAACAACTTTGCTTTCATTACGTAGGGTGCAATAAACCCCAAGGGATCGAAGAGTGAATAAACAGCTGATACGATCGCTCGCCGAGTGACCGAAGCTTCGTTTACTAACTGCAACATTTTCTCCGAGACATGCCACTCAAATTTATCTTCTTCGGTATTCCACTTGATGCCAAGAGCGCTTTCGGTAGGCAGCCGGTCCAATTCTAAATCTTTCACAGATTTGGCTCTTTCTGTTTCGGGAATCGTTTTCATCACCTCTCTGCTATTACTGTACCATTTTGTGAGACGAAAACCACCCTTTTCGAGTAGATGGCGCAGTTGACTCACTAAGCCTATCGCCTCGCTTGTTTCCTTCGATGATTTCATCAAATCGTCGACATACATATTACGTTTCACCGTCTCTATAGCCACAGGGTTAAATTCATCTTGATGCAACTCTGCTGTTTTACGCAAGCAGAAATTAGCAACACTAGGCGAAGACGTAGCCCCGAATAGGTGTCTTGTCATTCTATATTCCTCCATCTCGCCAGAAAGATCTTCGCTCGGCCACCATAAGAACCGCAATGCATCGCAATCGCGGGGTTCCACCAAGACCTGGTGGAACATTGCTTCTACATCTGCAACCATTGCAACAGATTCTTCTCGGAATCGGATAAGCACGCCAGTCAGTTGATTTGTTTGATCTGGACCTTGCAAAAGCTGCTGATTCAACGAAGTTCTCCATAACTTGCTGCACAATCATATACCACTCGAACCTTTTCGGGCTTTAGGGGATGCGTAACCGGGTGGTGCGGGAGATACCAGATCGGTCTGTTCTCCATGTTCAATTGCTCTTTAGGGATTTTCTCAGCGTAACCCTTTTCTAGGTACTCATTCAACGTTGTCCGATACTTTTTCAACAGTTCGTCATCGCGGAGGAGGCGTTTTTTCAGAAGCAAACCCCGCCTTTCTGCTACCATCTTGTTATTGGGCAAATATGGTGGATTATTCCGCCATGGCAGAGCAACTTGAAAATGACCGTCCACTATCTTCAGTGTTTTTTCCATTATTTGTAGCGCTTTCTTATCTTCCACCGACGGGCACACCTTGGTTTCGACCAGAGAACCTTCAAAGTCTGTTTTCCACAGCCTTTCTAATTGGTGTTTTAGATCTTCATCCGTGTTTTCACGATCAACTTGAACACGTTCAACTTCTTTAACTTCTCCAGTTCTATCCTTCATTACATGCTCACTTTCTTCCATGGCACGATCTTCTGTAAGAAACTCACTCGCTTCCTTCAGACTTTCAAACGTACGATCTTCAGTTGAAAAATCATCAGCGTTGACAGACATTCTAGCAAAATTGGATGTCGCACACATGCCATCCATTTTTTCACCAACGGGCCCGATCACCGTCCAACCCAAACTGTATCTGATTGCCACAGGATCCCTTTCTTCTCCAGATCGATATTCCAAAGGCAAAAACATGGAAGGGTTCTCTTGAAGTCCAATGACCAACATAACTTCTCTAGTTTCCAACTCTTGTAATGGCAGATCACGTAAATGAGACCAACTTCGAATGTCTCCTTTCTTTGCAATACACGCTTCCGAGATCGGCATTTGATTGACAGTTCTAACATTTGACAACTCGATCAGTGTCTCACCATCCAGTGAGGCCACCTCAATGTCTATCAATTCACTTCTTACTTTGGTCGATCCGGTCATGCCTGACAATGTGAAGTCCAGCTTCCTTCCGCTTGCTGCAAGTTGTTTCTTCAAACGTTCATGGCAAAGCGTAACTTCAGATCCACTGTCTAAGAGTGCATAAGCTCTAATGGCGGGTTGACTACTTCCCTTTGCTCGTACTTTAAGAGGAACAACACTTAGGCACACTCGTTCGCCGGCCCCAGTTGCAACTGTTACTTTCACTTCTTGTTCTCCTGTTCCGCCAGTTGTTTCAGTTGGGTCTGGAGGTTTCTGGTCTTCCTTTTCTTCCTTAGCAGCTTCAGGTTGCGGTGGGTGTAACAATGTGTTATGTCCTTTACTGCATCCTTCTACCAGACATTTAAAATGAATTTTAGGACATTTTCTCGCATAATGGCCTTCACTCAGACACTTAAGACAAAGTTCTCGTTGTTGCACAACTTTCTTCTTCTCTTGATAGGAAAGTTTCTTGAACTTATCGCATCTCCAAATTCTATGGTTGCCAGAACACATCGTGCATCGTATCGAATTCCCACTTCCGTTCCCATGACTCTGTCGATTATCCAAGCCGGATGCAAATAAAGATGATCTTCGGGAGGGTTCTCTCGATCCATCTTTTCTCCTCACATTTTCCTTCGGTTTAACAAGACTCGCACAAAGATCTTCCCCAAACTCATTATTTACAAGCGTTGCTCTTTTCTTCACGAAGTGGAGGAAATCTTTAAACTTGGGTCTAGAGCCAGATTCAATCGTCGTACCAGCACGCTCTGTCCATTTTACTCGCAGGAATAATGGCAGCTTCCGAGTTAACTCTCGCAAGGTGTTGACGTGATTCAACTCACTTTCATATTCAGGCCCCATACTTGTCAACGTTCTATCTGCAACCTCTAAGTGCCTGGAAAACTCCAGCAAACTTGCTCCATTGGCTTGTTTCAATGGTGGTAAGTTCTGTAACTTGTTAATATGTGCTCGTGCTATTATGTGCGGTTTTCCAAAGTTCTCATACAGCGTTTTCTTTGCAGTTGTATATCCTTCTTCAGCTGGTAAGTTTACACAACTTTCAATTGCATCACGGGCTTTATTATTGCAGTGTTGAATCAAGAGTTGCAAACGAGTGGAATTATCAGGGTTGTCCTTTTCTAGGCATGTTTCAAAATTATGCATGAAGGAAGCATAATTTATTGCATCACCGTCAAAGTGCATGTACTTAATTTTTGGCATAGACACGACTTGTCGCAGTGCTCTCACCATCTCTTCCCCTGTATCTATCTCTTTAACTGTGGGTTGTTGGACCTTCCCTTCGGGTAAATATGTTCTAGGAATCAGCGATAAAGGTATACTAGGTGACTGTAGGGGTTGTTCGTGCTGAATATACATCTGGGTGGGTTGCAATGGCATACCACACTGTTCGACTTGCCTTTTGGGTGAATATGTCTCAGAAACTTGTTGTGAAGGGATATTAATTGACTGTACAGGTTGTTCTTGTTGAGGGTATGCCTGTGTCAGTTGCAATGGCACATTGTACTGTTCAGCATGCCTTTCGGGTGAATATACCTTAGAAACTTGGGGTGAAGATATATTAGTCCCTTGTACTATTTGCTCTTGTGGTACATACGGTTGTGAAAGGGGTGATAGTCCTTGCCCTTGTTGATTCATTGAGAGTGTGTTTTTGTTAACATTTCCATGCTCAGAATTGTTATCTGATTCATTCTCATAAACATTCAAACTTACGATTGCTCGTTCCTCTTCCATTCGGGCTTCCATATATTCTTTCTCGAAATTCAACTCTGTCATTCTTCGTTCGAGTTCGTGCTGTTTCAGTAGTTGGCTTCTCTTCAACTGAGCAAGCGCTAACTGTTCTTTCCTTTTTGACACAGTTGAGAATTTTGAACTGTGACTTGACTTACTTGCCAAAGTTCGCCTTGATTTTCCCGAGAATGAACTAGCATCTTCTCCCTTTTGTTTTGACGCTAGACACGATCGCACAGACATTACTGTTGATCATGCAGTATGAGTTATAAAGTTATAACACAAATGTACCCAGACGATATATGTTCCTGAATAAAATTAACAACTTATGTTCCCTGACAATAAATATAGTCCAAACTCACCGTCCTCGACAATATCTATACTCCAATATTCTGTTCAAACAAGAATACCCTGTATAATACAAATACACTGTCCCAGGTGATATAAATTATCCTTCAAGTGAAATATAGAACTTCAGGTGAAATTTAATCCAAATACTCGTTCTTAACGAGAAGATATACGTCTTTGATGATAAATATACTTTTCAATAACCAGATCTTGAGTAAATATAGTCAGATATAACCGTTTCTAACAATAAATATAGTTCCAAGGCACCGTCCCTGACGATAAAATATACTTGAATATAAACCAGATCTTGAAGTGAAATATAATCCAAAATAACCCGTTCCTGACGAGAAAACACAGTTCAAATGCACCGTCCCTGACGATATAAATATACTTGAATATAAACCAGATCTCGAAGTGAAATATAATCCAAATAACCCGTTCCTAACGAGAAAACACAGTTCAAATACACCGTCCCTGACGATATAAATATACTTTTAAATAAACTAGATCTTGAAGTGAAATATAATCCAAAATAACCCGTTTCTAACGAGAAAACACAGTTCAAATACACCGTCCCTGACGATATAAATATACTTTTAAATAAACCAGATCTTGAAGTGAAATATAATCCAAAATAACCCGTTTCTAACGAGAAAACACAGTTCAAATGCACCGTCCCTGACGATATAAATATACTTGAAATACACCGTCTTTGTCGAGAAAATATACTCAAACTAACCCGTTCCTAACGAGAAGATACCGTATAATTCAAATTCTCCGACTCTGACGATCAATATACACTTAAACTTTCCAGAAATACAATCCAATAAACTTGTACTTGCCACAAATGTACACTCCAAATAGACTAGTCCAAATAGCGATCCAAACTCGTAGAAATATGGTTCTAAACTGTTACTATAGTCCGACTATAGCACCTGATGTTGAATAAAATTATCATATATTTGAAACAAACGTCACATTATACAAATCTTACGTTAAGATCATCAAATTTTACGTTTACTTTTACTTGTACCTTTACTATTACGTTTAGAACCGTTTGGTTCTACGACTAAACAAAAACTAAACAAACAACATGGCCGCCCTATTTGCCATGCCAAAAATGCGTCCACTGCGCATGCGCAAGGCGGGAAAATCCATACGGTAGCTACAACCGATTGGGCTGTCAATTTCCCGTGCGTAATACAAAATGACTGAACAACGGCAAACTTCGCAAGGCTATATTATCCGCATTTAGATTTTACAACATTTCGCAACGAAACTTTGGAATATTACTAATTTTGTGATGCTCTTTCAAGCTGTGATGAAATTTTTGTTTAGATCAAAATTTAGTCTATAATGCAAATGGTTCATTGAACGAGAATTCGTAATAAACGAACACTTCCAGATGGAAAACTTGCTATGAGCAATACTAATTATAACTCCACAGGATTTTATGGTCAAGTTAGACCTCAAGGACGCCTTATGCCCTTATCTAACAGTCGGTGTTCATCCCGACTCTCAGAAACACCTGAAATTCATTTGGCAGCGCCAGGTTTATCAGTTCCAAGCCCTGCCATTTGGCCTAAACACAGTACCGCGGGTTTTCACCAAATTTCTCAGGCCAGTGATGGCATCTCTCCGCACGCGAAACATCAGGCTTCTGATTTATCTAGACGACATCCATCTGGTGGCGTCAAGTCCTTTGATTTTGTGACAGCACACGAGTTCATAATCAATTTCGAGAAGTTAATTCTGACACCAACCCAGATACTAGATTTCCTAGGATTCGTAATCTATTCAGTTTCTATGAAGTTTTATCTACCTCCGGAGAAAAGAGAACGAAAACGTCTCGCCTGTGCAAATCCTTAATGAAGGAAAACTCAACATGATTACATCCTCTATCTCTATTGTTGGGCTTTCTAGAGTCTTGTCGACAGCAGTATGTCTTGCTCCACTCCATTTTCGGCACCTTCAGAAGTAGCGTTGAACAATGGGGGTTGTCACGGCACAGTCCACCTGAGCAGACTGGCACTATGCGAACTGTAATGGCGGATTCTGAATATCCATCAAGTCAATGGAAGTCCAATTTGTCCTCCTTCATCCGAAATGATTATCACATTGGATGCCTCCGAGATGGGCAGGGTGCCACTTGTGGTAATTTGCAACCAACGTCACACGAGGAGAGTCTCCTTCACATATATTGTTCTGGAACGAAGGACGGCATTTTTTGCAATACAATCATTCCTGAAACACCAATCAAACAAATTAATCCAATTTCGGCAAATCTCAGAGACATTTTAGTCTTCCTAAGCGATCAATTTGACAACAAACTGCAATACCGCACCATATCCATGGATTGATGGCAAGCCGGTTGGACAACACCCTATTGCTATCCGACTAATGAAGGGGCATTGCTAATGCCTTCTAAGCCGTAATATTCATCATGCAACCTGGGATGTGTCCAGGGTAACTTTACATTTATCTTCACTGGGGGATAATGATACGTTATGCCTCAAATTGCTAACTAAGAAAACAACAAACAAAAAAAACACTTCTGATGTGTTAGCATTGATATCACCAGAGAGGTCCTCTGTTCTCTCGGACCTTGATATCTAGTTCGTGAAAGAATAGCCTGATGGTTTCACATTCACACTAACTAAACCATGATCTCTCACAACGATAGCATTCCCATGTGTTATGGAAGACAGCACCTAATGTCCCTCATTAAAATGCTTGGAATCATATTGAAATGCTACAAGTGAGTTTCGGACTCCACCTGAATGTAAAAAGTTGTTTTTCTCGACTTTACCTTTACATCGCACTGTCTCCCTGTCTCCCAAATACAATTTTCAGATGGTTGTGTGACACAATAACAGCTTCTGGTATCGATTAATATTCCGCAATGCTTACTAAGGCTCATTCCACAAGAGCAGCCTCGGCTTCAGCTACTGCTAAGAAACAGCCACCACTAAAGGGCATTCTTAAAATGGGTGATTGGACATATTCTTCAACTCTCCAACGGTTTCATTACAAACCAACCATTGATGACAGTTATGCGAAAACAATTCTAAAATCCTAAATATTGACGAATATAGAAAACTATTGTTGAGTTTGAGTTTTCATCATGTAACCTTTATAAATTATGGTCTACTTTTTCTAGTTTATTAAAGTTGCACTTTTGTGTTTTTGGCAATTTGGTATCATTTCGTAGCTATTACGTTGAAATCTACCATATGTTTTCCTATATATTTCGACCGGAGTTTGTGAAGTATAATTTAAATTACACAAGGGCATCTTAGGCCTGTTAGTGTAATTATGATTATACGAGCAAACGAAGGCAGAAATATATGGGCCCACCCTTTACCCTCAAGCGGTGTTTCTCCCGTACCCTGTTTTTTCAGACGTGTTGAAAATAACCGATTAGGCACGGGGAGTTGGCGTATTTATATGCCGGGTCATGTGACCCATTCTTTTCTTTCTTTTCTCTTCTTCCGGTTCCGGAAGCGTACAAACGTGAGTTAGAGCACGGTAAGGCAAGCTTTACCATATGTTTTCCCATATATTTCTCCCTTCGTTTGCTCGTATAATCATAATTACACTAACAGGCCTAAGAGGCCCTTGTGTAATTTAAATTGTCCCCAAACAGTGCAGCAGTATAAATCAATCCTTGGTTGAAAGAAAGTTTTATAGAACTTGTTTGAAGTGGCAGATAAATCATTCTTTTTTTTTAATTTTTATTTTTAATCTTTATTCTGAATGATATCTGGCCATTTACAATAGGTTAGATGCGCACTAAGACATGATTTCAGCAATCAGTGATTCGCGTCTATTCCTATGCCTACATCGCTTGTAATCGATTTATCACTATGGACTATACCTATAATCGAGCGAATTTAATTGACAGTCATGATACATGACTTAACAGTATTCTAGTCATGACCTCAATGAGGTCATGACTAGAATACTGTTATCCCTATAAAACCAAACACCAATTTTTTGAAAAATAGTCTCAAATATAATGGTCAGGAGCACTGGTATGGAATTATATATTACCAACTGAAATTAGGAATTCCACTCCACTAAAAATATGTATGTAGTTTCTTATTTTCCCTGTAAACATTGTAATTCAAATATAACGGCGCCTGGGAAGATCATCTCAATTTGGATGACAGGCCTTCCTGCTAAAATAAAGTTCACTATCACTATCACTATTTACGTGACCTATTTACGTGATTGGGCTGCACGCGCTCGGAGACGGGAACGTTATATGCACGCCCAAACAACAAACAATTTATTTTCACTCATAAAAAATATATACAGAAAGTTATTCTTATTATTATCAGCTGAGAGTGAAGGCCACCTGTAATAACCATATGGGCTAATCGAGACAGGTGACCTCTATAATGAAAAGTAGTAATTTTATAGAGTTGGAAAAGTTAGATACGGACTTGGGTTATCAATAAATATAAATAACAGGCACAGAACACACACACAATGTAAATGAATATGAATGAATAAAAGGTTCATGCAAAAAGCGAAAAGAAGTAACAGGGGGGGGGGGGATCTCAAAAAAATATCAAACTTTGAATCAAACAATTTTAGTAGCTATTAAATATTTGAAGTTTGAATTTCTTTTTGAAATTAGGAAGAGAAAGATGTCTTAAAGATTCATCAATGCTCGGTTCCAAATCTTGACTCCAATGAATCTAATATTGAAAATTCCATAATTTGTACGGACTAGAGGAAGAGAGTATGTTGACCTAGAAGCTAACCGAGTATTGTGGCTATGTTGCTTACAAACTGGGTTAAAAAAATCATTAAATCTATTTGGACCGAAGCTTTTTATTATAGAAATTAGGTAAAAACAAAGCCGTATTAAAATACACAATGTCAAGAAATTTTAATAAGTTGAAACTCTTAAAAAGTGGAGAGCTATGTTCATCAAATTTAGAAAAGCTTATTATACGTATAGCCTTTTTCTGTAACGTAACCAGTGAGGACAAATTGATTTATATGCGTTGCCCCAGATTGTCACCCCATAAATTAAAAATGGATAAATAATAGAATAGTAGAGTTGGATTAGAGTCTCTTTTGCAACAAAATGCCGCAGTTCAGATAAAATACCAATACTCCTAGCAATTTTTTTTGAGAGTTCATGTACATGATCTTTCCATTTTAAATTACTATCAATAATAACTCCTAAGTACTTAATACTTTTCTTTTCCCTAATTTCGACTCCGTTTATTAAAATCTTGAGTGCGTTAGGGCGTTTCTTTTGCGAAGGAGAAAATATAACATAGTTTGACTTATCCACATTGAGACAAGTTTATTGATAGAAAGCCATTCATTAACAAAATTCAGTTGATTATTGATTGTTGATTCAATATCTATTAAGCTTCTATCGCAACAGAATAAATTTGAGTCATCTGCAAAAAGATGAAAATCTAACTGAGGAGCACAGTTACAAAAATCATTAATATATAAAAGAAAAAGTAGTGGACCAAACACTGAACCCTGTGGAACACCACAAGTAATGGGTTCAGTATCAGATGAAATATTACCAATAGAAACAAACTGAGATCTGTCTGTTAAATACGAATAGTGTTCGAGTTTTCTAATCAATATACTGTGCATGATTCACAGTATCAAAGGCCTTTGTGAGGTCTAAGAAAATGCCACAAGAAAAAAGCTTATTTTCAATAGCCCTATTAATTTTATCAGTAATTAGATGAATAGCATGAACAGTAGAATGATTAGATCGAAAGCCAAACTGCCCCTCAAAAAAGACCTTATCAGTCTATTGTACATTAACTTTTCCATGATTTTGTTAAAAACAGAGAGTAAAGAAATTGGACGATAATTGGACATGATCATGCTAGCCCTGTTACCTTTCTTATATACTGGAATTACCCTAGCTGTTTTTAATTTGTTTGGCACCTTGCTCATAGAAAAAGAATAATTGAATAGATATTCAAGTGGTGGAGACAGAAGGCACTTAAGCATTTTCAGCAGCTTAGTAGGAATACTAAAAGGACCAGTAGATTTGGAAGTGTTCAATTTGTCAATAATATATTCGATCTCACTAGTTATCACTGGGAAAAGAAAACAGCTATTTCTCACAGGATCAGGCGTATATTTATCAAATGTAGCACCTGCCAAAGGAATTTTGGCTGCAAGTTCTGAACCAATGGTAACAAAATAATTATTAAAAGCATTAGCAATATTCTTTTTGTCAGTTATATTAGTAGTGCCTACCTCTGAAATGTGAGGAGCATTTGAAGATTTAAACTTAAAGCTGATTATCTGTTTAATTCTTTTCCATGTTTCTTTAATACTGCAGTTATTAGCTGCAAAGAACTTCCTACAGTATAACTTTCTACTTTTTCTATAGTGCCTGAATTTGGCTAAATAATAGTTATTTTTAAATCTCAAATAGTCTTTATAGACGGGGGTAATGGGGTATTTTCGTGCTCCGGATTAGGGTAATTTAATTATTCGTTCTTCGTTCAGTCATCTTTTTATTAAACGTTTTTCGATCCCGACATGGATGCCGCGTATCGTGCTTGCGGTGTATTCAATATCCGTTCTCAGCAGTAGTTAAGACGGTTATTTCTCGTTTCTGGACAATATATTCCATTAATAGTTTGTTTCTGGATTTTAGCTATGTTTTGATTGGGGAATGCAGGTTTCAAATTTTATAAATCATGAACATCGACGCAATTGTAAACAAATAGGTGAACACACCGCCCAGTACAGACTGTTTATATTCACCTTTAAGACCTCTAAGTATGGTTGTTGCTTACATTTCATATGTTCCCTTTACATTTCAGATTCGTAATAAATTTGTTATTTTACGTGCTTCAGGACTTCCTTCTTTTATTTTTCATGTTTCAAGATCGCTGCATATTATTTCTCGTGCTTCAGGATTGGTACCCCCCCCCCCCATTACCCCCCTCTTTATAAAGCTTATTTTTTTGGCAATGGAAACTCTTATTGCTTTAGTAACCCTGGGCTTTGCTTGTAATTTTGATTCTTTTTTTGAAAGTCTTATTAGTGGAACATGTTTATCAACAACTTGGGCTATTTTTGTGTGAAATGACTCAAAAACAGAGTTAATATCTTGGTCATTAGCAAAAGCCTCCTCCCAGTGAATACCCGGCCTGAACTTCAGCCAACAATCTCTCTTCATCCAAATTAGAATAATATCTTTTGTAAATAACACTTTTAGATGTGAAACATGGCAATTCATTGATAATTAGAAAATTAGGCAGGTGATCCGATATATCACACAGCAGATTACCATTATTATTATTATTATTATTATTTCTCGACAACCGGTTTCGTATTACATTTCGATTCAATTTTTCTAATATAAATATCTCGGCGAGTATTTACCCCCCTTTGAAATAAATGCCACCATTGAAATCCTCACAATATAACCTTTCGAACGGGGGGTCAAGTGCCGTCAAAACATTACACAAACCAAAACAATCATATATTTATACTCACAGCTTCGCCAAACATTCAAACGGGAAAAAGAGAAAAAGTTGAATATATTCTAAAATTTGGCGTCATTTTCTGAAAGGATATATGTGCAAAATACTCTTTGTATTCAAGCGCTTTAGTGTAGAAAGTTTCGTGTGAATACGGCGAGTAGAAATATTTATTTTGAATTTTTCAAGGTATCGGGTTTTACTCGCACGCACTTGTATTACGTAATACTTGGCCAATAAGGAGCTCCCTTTAGCCGGGATGACGTCAAACTCACGCGTATGGGTGCACTTTGACCTGTAGAAGCCATTTCTGGCATTTCTAGAGTCACGCGATACAAACTACGCATTGTTTTGACGGTTTTTCGTCGTATTTCCGGTTTGGGATTAACGCAAATTCGGGCAGAAATGCAAAATTCGGCAAGAAAACTCACGTTTTAACGATAGAAGCTTGAAAATAACACTATACGTGTTATTTTTAACTGCTTCATTGACCAAGAATACAAGAATGAGCATACGTCTCAAGGGGCCGAAGTTATGTTCGGCGAAAGGTATGTCTATGTTTATAATTTGTTAGTAATATTGCGTAATTTGATCATATTTAAGCCCGTTTGACTTTCAAAGCTTATAAATCGCTACAATGTAGCCAGTCACTAAAACTGTCGTTATAAATTAGTATATATTTTTATACTGAATCGAATGGCGGTATTTTCATCGACATAGCGTGTACTGAACCGAAGATATAAACGAAACATCCGTAGAACGTGCACGTTCTACGCGTAATGGCCTGCTGCAAAAGAGTTAAAGTAGCAGAATCATCAATGATTCCAGTAGGTTTAACGATATGGGGTTGAAAGCAGTAAAATGCTAGTGTATTGACAAATTCACCTGTTGGATTGTGTGATTCAAAGTTTAATAAATTTAGGTTGAAGTCACCCATGATAGAACAATAGATTTGTAAAATTATCTAAGTTACCATTAGGGTGTCTATAGATCACAGCACATACTATATTCTGAGTCGTACGGTGAATTTCCACAAGCATTCAAAATCATTTGTTGTTACACACAGATCATCTCCTAAGTGAAATTCTATACCATCTCTGATATAAAACCCTACACCTCCAGCCTCATGAAGGGTATGCTGGGATAAAAACTGATAGCCAGGAGTAAGAGTATTGGCAATGTGATCTCTATCAGCTTTTATCCTAGTTTCAGTTAATCCAATAATACTAAAATTGTGTTGGACCTCTGACAGCAGTGTCAGTAGAGTCAGTAGACTGTCATAACAATTCTAACAGATACATTACTATGAAACTCATGGGGTGTATAATAATCAAAGTTAATATCAGAGAGTACATTAGCATCAACGTCAATACTGGTAAGATTTGGAACATTATGTAAGAGAGAAATCAATTCAAGTCTGGGTAAATCACAGGCGGCCCAATCTCAGAATGAATGATCAGGTGTTGCGGGTTTTTAACGGTTTTTAGAAACAAATTTATAGTCAACCAAAACTATTCTAAAAACATTCTCAAATTAGTCAAATAAATACATTTTAACAATAAAATATAGTTGACATGATAGTATAATACATTTACATTCTTTTAATTATTCCATGAGCTCATTTAGAGCGGTTGATGTATGTAGCTACCGTTTATCAATTTATATTGTTCTCAATCCACATTAAGTTATAGTTCAGTGGCGGGTTGGGGGTCTGGAACGTACTAAAAAAACCTCGAGGTTAAACGGCCATATTGGAAAGTTTATTGTAAATATTTAAAGTTGGAAGTTGTTTTTTCTGTGTGCGTTTCGAACAGTCCGGTTAGTGACAGTCATTAAGAGCGGTTGTCTGTAATAGTCAGGTAAGACGTGTAAAATGAAAAAATTCAAAATCTTTCAAACTTTGTCAGAATGTAGGCCTATATGAAGTATTAATGTTGTGAAATTTTTATTTCGATCGGATAAATATTGAAGGAGAGAGACGTCGAAATTGGTTTTCCCAGGCAACTTTCGATTTTTAGAGGTCATTTTACGGCACTACCAAAATCGCTCTATTTTGCGCGTTAATGGGAATATTTCACAAAACATATTTCGTTTTATAAATTAGAGATATTTATTGATTAGCAGACAAAATTTAGAGACATTTCTGTAAAAAGTGAATATTTTACAGATTTTCTTAATGTTTTTTATTTTCGAACCTCTTTATTATATGCGATATTAGGCAGCGAATATCTCCATTGTTACATCGATTCAGACAAAAAATTCATAACCAGATCAAATAAATATGTTTTCCCTTGCTATTGATTAAATAAAATTTTTGGGCAACTTAGAATTGAATTTTTGACGAATTTTTTCGTAACCCCTATTTAACCCGAATAACCGTATGTTATGTAGCCTGCATGGCAGGCGGTACGTAGGAAATACCGCCTGCCGCAAAACTGGGTGTAAATGAACTACCGCCCCTGAAGCATCAAAGCTATTTATAGATGTCATTAAGTAAATATTCAAAATTAGCCACTCCCAAGTTGCTCCCAAGTCCCAACTGCCCAACATAATATTAATTCCTTGATTCTCATCACCGCCCGACTGAATTTTAAAATCCTCGTGAAAATGTTTTATATTTTGTTATACAATATAAATGTACCGCCCGAAAAAATAATTCAAGACAGTTAATTTTTAAATATTTTATATAGGGTTTTTATTGCCATTTTAAATTTCCAATTTGAAACAAACAGAATTTTGAATGAAATTTCATTGTATTTTAAAGAAATTCAGTCATTCTGTCATTGTTCGTGGAGATACAAACTATTGATATATAAATTATATAAATATAAAATATAAAAAATAAACTCTCCCACTGTCTTTGACATTTCAAAGTGTAGACTGTCTCTAGTGAGGAGAATCAAGGAATTTATTTTATGTGTTAATATAAACCAAGTCCGTTTAGCTGCCTTAAAACGGTACGTGGTTTAATAAGCTCACAATACAAAGCATGCAAGTCTATACTATAGATTCATCATCAGTCAACAACCAAACTGAAAGTTTTGAACCTTATAGAAAGATAGTTTTTGTGGTTAGCCCGTTCGCGGGCTAACCATTATGTACACGCTAAAAAAAGTTGTGAAGGTTGTGAAGTTGTGACGGAGCGTGTTCGGCTTTACCACAGTATAGAAAAAGTACAGTAGGGCCACTCAGCATAAAAAAGTGTCTACATTGTTTACTGGCTGCCAACCTAATTTACATATTGGCAGCCAGTAAACGGCAGCAGTCCACTATAAAATTGTACTACAGAATAATGATTTTGGCCGTGTAAGACACCTGGAACCTAGCTTAAATAATTGCCACTTTTCTCTCCCCTAAGTGGCCCTACTGGTTGTCTCCCTATACTGTGGCTTTACTTCGGAAACTGTCGTTAATGCCATGATGCGATATAAATATTCATACAGTACACAGATATTCTGATATAGTGATACAGTATTAATTTAAATGCACAGTCAACAGATCTGCGAATAAAACATCAATATTTCATCACAAATACAGGTAAGCAACTATTTTCCATCTCTAGTCATTTATAATGCTAAAAACATCACAATTTTGGTCTGCTCTGGTCAAAAATATTTGATCAGGCTCCATATTTTTGCACACATTCAAAAAATTGAACGAAGCCATTGTTGCTTGCACTCATCTTAGATCAGGCGCTTAGCCAATAGCCGCTTACGGGGCATGGCCATGAGGTCCACGTATCAAATAGAAGCTGAATAGAAACTGAAATATCAAATCAAACTTGCCATTGTGCAGTTAAACAAAAACCAACCTTGCCATATTTGTGCAGGTATATTGTAAAGAGCAAACCCAGTTTGGGGATTCATATGCTACAAACTGACCTGTCAACTTGCAGGTGAACGATTTACAAACCGCAACACAAAACAACATTGACTGTTGAACTTGACTGAAAAATATGAGTGTAGCGATTGAGATCAATCAATGAACTCACCCTAAATCGTCACATGATTGAGGTTGGATACCGCAAGGAAACACGCTAAAAATCATATACCATCACTGTTGTTAGATGAAAAACGGTTTTCATCTAATAACTGAGATCCTAATTACAAATTCAAGTCAATACACAACAATATACTATAATAATTACTGACGGTCATAATAACCTATTGTTTTCTCTCTGCATTATATCAGCGAATGTCGAGAAGCTAAAATAGCACCCAGCATTATTAAAAATAATGCAGCGTGCACACAGCATTATTAAAAATAATGCAGCGTGCACACAGCATTATTAAAAATAATGCAGCGTGCACACAGCATTATTAAAAATAAAGCAGCGTGTATCAGTGCACACAGACATTATTCGCAATCCTTCGTCATCCTGACAAGTACACGCGATAACGTGAACATCTCAAGATGAGAAGTTGACAGTGCTAAAGGCCCCTCATACAATATCATCGGGCGCCTGAAGCACTGCCAAAACGGTCGCTGTGAGTTCTTTCAGCTCAACTTTATAGAGAAATAGTTTCGTTTGCGCTTGTGGGATTTTATCCTAGATATACGCATGTGCAGAACACACCATAACTTTTATTCCCGTGTTTATCCAGTTTAATAATGTTTTCGTTCTAGATGTTATGTAAACAACTCGTTTCTCGTGTTTCATCAGGGGACCAAACACTCGAAAACAATAAAACACTCGCGCTTCGCGCTCGTGTTTCATACAGTTTTCTCGTGTTTGGATCCCCTGATGAAACACTCAAACTCGTTGTTTACATATAACTTCAAGAATTGGTTCACACCATAAATTTACACAAGGAATTTACATTCTGGAATCAAATGTTGATGATGTTCTGTTTACTGTCGTTCCAATTGAAGTGTTCCTCAAATATTGATTCAATACATTACCTCAGGCTGACCAATTCATTTCATCAAGTTCCTCGAGATATTCATACACTTCCTGTGAAAGAGCCAATTCCAAGTATTTGATCATTTCTGGTCACTTCCTTTCTATTTACGATTGGTTAGTTGCACAAACAACAGAGGTGATTGGTGCATTCAAATTATTCAACAGGAAGTTTACAATTATACTAGGAAGTGTATGAATATTTCGAGGAATCGAACTTGATCAAATGAATTGGTCAGCCCGAGGTAATGTATTGAATCAATATTTGAGGAACACTTCAATTGGAACGACAGTAAAAGTATTTTACTTTTTATTATTATTATTAAATTTGTCACAAATATTTACAATGACACTGATAAACAATATACATAACAAGCTACAAGACAACACTTGCCATGTTTTAAAAATCTAGCTAGTGACTAAAACTGAAAAATATAATGAAGTGTGCATGTGGTATGGGCAGATGGTATGTTATCATGTTCATGTACCATTGCTATTAAGACTTTCAAAGAAATATTAATGAAATAGTTGACCGTACTTGTACAGTTCATGCTGACTTTCACCAAGATGATCAATTAACGTTTAGATCTAATGTTGGGAAACAATGTGTTGCCAGGTTACTATATTCTATTGTTTATAATGAAATTAAATCAGTTAATATTAATTTGGGACACATCCACCATAGGCGTCGAAAGATAGCTAAGTGGGGGGACCATATTCATATATTTGTGTCCACAGACCTTGAAAACAATCGATTTCAAAATAAATTAATAATGCAGAACACGAATATATGAATATGGTCCCCCTCACTTATCGATCTTTCAATGCCTATATGACATCCACTATGAACCAGATTTTAGTTTATGGCAACAATTTATATATTGTACATGCAAGCGAGGTTCACCTCACATTCACATGCTAATATAGCTTGCGAGTAGTGAAACATACTGTAGCATATTGTTTTGGCCTTTGGGAACTAACTGCAGAACTAATACAGAACTAATGACTTTTGACTAAAAGGAAACAATATGGTATGTTACAATATGGCTGAAGTGGAGAACAGGCCATGGAGTATAATATATTTCCAGTATAGTAATATTACTTTTTTAAATATTGTAGATGGAACAAAAACTCAAAATAATAATCGGTAAAACTAACCATCTCTACCACCATTTAATTCCACCTGGCGAATCATGCTAGACTGTTTACTGTATACTCTACATCACCGTGAAGATGTTACTGGTTGAAAGAATATTTTACCTGTCTCATTTGTAAATAAGGAAAAGTCTGACCTTTAAATTTATACAAATGGATGATATGCTGTATGAGAATTTCTAATGGTTGGTCAACTGATAATGTATCAAGTGATTCAAGTGGTGTCTACTATTGGATAATGCTGAAAAGTAAATATTAGAAAATAAAACTGTATGAATAAATAAGATTTCTATCTGTCAGTGACCATTAAATATTCCAGATCAGGAGCAAGAGCTGTATGGAATGAGAAGGAATCTTATGCACCTTTAATGGTGTGCATACAGTATATCAGGACGCTTTTCAATTAATAACAGAAGATCTATTCCAGGCATTAAAATAGTGTGTCCTTGTACACACTTTGTGTCGTTGTAAAAGGCGAATGTGCCCTTGTAAATTGAAAAGTGTGTACTTGAAAATATATTAAACAGAAAATATATTAATGTAATCCACGCAAAATGGCAAAAATTTTTCCAAATTCTGTTCTCAGAACACTGGAAATGCCATTTCAGAGACCCCGGTTAAAATCTCGCGTCTTGTCTTCGACGCTAAACTTGTGGCTTCGCCACCCATTTTTGTGAGTCTGCGCATTTATACCGAAAATACTCCTCTGAAGGCAAAGTGTGTCCTTGTAAAAATTCCGTATTTTAATGCCTGATGTATTCATCACAATTTTGGACACATGAGCTAACACCTGCTATCCTGGAATGAACGGTGAATGTACTGTATCCCCAGTGAAAAGAATAAATGACTTTGTTACTCACGTTACATGTAATAATGTAATACCTTCTTATATTAAAATATCGAACTTTTGAGGGTAATGCCAATGCTAAGACTATTTAAGCTACTATTTTTTAAGATTAGTATAATATTTTTATTATCAAGATAAATTGTCTAGTCGAGACCTCGAACTGTTGTAGTCTAGTTATTGTCGTATCTTATACAAAACTACGTTGAACTTTAATTTACCGATGTACAAGGTATTCTGTCCCAGGGGTGAATTGGAGGGGCAGGGCTTTCTATTTTTGATGATTGCATAATCTCTTAAATCATGTTTGAAAGTTTTTTTGAAATTATGGTGGCGCCTCCTGAAAACCTGCACCCTGTCAATAATTAGCGATAATTTCAGTGATTTCTCTTTGGTTGGCATATAATCCACTAACGCCGTACGCAAATGCATGTACGCTTAGCGTACCTATTTTTTATTCCAAAGGCTAACCACATGTACGCAATGCGTACCTATTTTTATTTGTTTACAACTATACATATTCAACGGGTATATAAGAGTTTAACTGTTATTTGATAATTACTGCATCAACCGGCCCCTAGTTCATACTTTGGAGGTTCGTATATCTATCAAGTATCTTTGGTTCAGAACATGACGGGCCTATATGAAAATCCCACCGTTCGATTCAGTGAAGAAATATCTCCTAATTTCTATCGATAGTTTTAGTAAAATGTCAACATTATTGCGATTTATGGTCTTTGAAAGTCAAGCGAGATCGTATATTATCAAATTAATACGCATGTAATTGTCTGAACGAAAATATAGACTAGCCCATACCTTTCGCTGATCATAACTTCAGCCCCTTCGGACGTATCTTCTTTGTTAAATATTCTTGTACGAATCGCTATCAAAAACACTACTTAGAGTGTTATTTTTCAGCTTGTATCTTTAAATTTGCTTCTTTTATTTAATTTGGTATTCCATTTCTGGTCTGACTTGACGTGAACTAATTTCAAAACGTCAAAACATTTGGTTAATGATTAACATTTAACCGAAATTAAGCCGTTGATTGACAACTACATAAAAATACTAACCAATCCGTTTTTTCCGTTCACCAGCGGACGGGTAATTCAAAAACCCCTAGTTTTGCGGCAGACGACGGTATTTCCTTTGCTTCCCTAATTTTCGCTGCCCGTAGAAATACCGCCTGCCATGCAGGCTATATGTTATGTAATCAACGTCGAGTCATGTAGTTCTATAAATAACCAAAGAGCTCGTCAAAAGCGTTTACTTCTTCGAGTAAACAAGCCTATGCCTATAAAACTTACCTTAGCTAAAGCTGTATGATTGGCAGAAAGCATTTAGGTCTAAATCACACTGTTTACAGTCGCTTATTGTTCAGGTAATGCCTGTAATATATTGTATAGCCGGCGCCGCTGATTTGGCGGTTTGGTTTTAATTATATTTTATCGGGAATATGCCGCGATAAGTATAGCAAGCTAAGTGTATTTTCTCTCCCCTTCCCATAAACATCTGTTCTTTCACGACTCGTCGTGCTTATAACTGTTCGAACATAAATAGTGCACGCATGGGCGTACCGGAAGGAAAAAATTAGGGGGCGGAAAGAAAATTGCCCAACTTTTTGGGATTCTGCCCGACTAGTACCAAAAATTTTTTTCCGAAAAAATTATTTTGGCGACCCCCCCCCCGTCGCCAAAAAATTTTCGGTCAGTGTACCATTTTAGGGGACAAAAAAATTTTCCGGACAATTTTTTCGGAACATAACACAAATTTTCGAAAAATCGCAAAATTTGCCAAAAAATTGACTTGATTTTAGACAAAATTGACAGAATTTGTCCCATTTTTTTTATTGCAAACCAAAATTGCCCGACTGTTGATCGAATATTGCCCGACTGCCCAAAAAACTGGGGGGGGGGGGCTACCGCCCCCCCCCGCCCGGTACGCCTATGAGTGCACGCGCTTTTTGACAAAAACATCTGTCAGTTTACGTTGAAATTGTAACTCGTTTAGTTACAGTAATTAATTTAATAATTAATTTAATAATTAATATTAAAGCTGGATTCTTTCACCGTGATGTCGTGCCAAAAGGTGTCTTTTCTATTTTTAAAAAAGACCCTCTGTTCATTTATGATTTGGTAATATTTACTACAGTTGTATGTCTTGTATATTTGATTATTTTGTTGTTGCTCAATAACTTTAGTCAAACTTCAGACCAAACTTCTACGCACTGTTACTTATTTAGTAGTTTTAACTGGCCATCACTTTTAAAACAGCAAGAAGATAAAGACAACGTGTACGTGTGAGTTATCCATGAAATAAATAGTTGGTTTACAAAATGAATTCCGTCTTCGTGGATAAAATTAATGAGTTATAAATAATCTCTCCTGTATGTGTTAAGCTACATGTAGGGATTTCCCCCGGTATATTTCTTCTCTTTTGTATGGCTGTTTGTGGTTACGCGTTATCTGACATATACTTTTGGTCCAATTTCAATTACATTTATCCAACCATTTCTGGATGATACATCTAGAACACTCAGGCAGTTCTCAGGCCAAAAAAGTCAACTTGAAAGGGGGCCCAACTTTCACAGAGGGGGCCCCGGAATGCTGGAATTGCGCAACGTGTTCTGAAATTGAGGTCGAAAAAGGTCTG